GATTTGAAGATCGAATGAGAATCTTGAAGTTAATCAATTCACGATTGTGTGGAAGGTAGGGTGACCATATTGCAGAAGAAAACCGTGGAGGATTGTGGATGGGAAGGTGCAGATGAACGTGGAGTTTGAACTTATGCAGGATAGGCCTAGGGTGTTCAGCAAGAAGAGAATTAGATAAGCCTAGCTTCGGGGTGATTAAAGCAGCAATGAGGATTTGGGCTACAGACTGTTTTCTGGGATTTCCTAAATCCAGGGCTTTTAGATTAGGTCTCTGATAACTCTCTGTACTATTCTATACGTGAAAATTGATGTACTTGAGGGTAAATTGTAATTCTCTCATACCACAGCCTAACTGTTAAAACTGCAGGCCTCAGGGCACTGTCAATAATCCATTCTCTTCTAATATCTTCATGTTTCATGTCGCAATTCATTCAGCTGTCTTTGGTAGAATTACCGTACACTTAATCTGAAATTTTAGTTTGATTCTTAGTCTACCAAATTTTTCATGAACTTGACAATCAGTCTTATGTCTGTTCAATGATTGCAGGCATAGCTGCAAACATGGGTCAATCTGCCTGTTTAGGTAGAGGTTAAACATCCCATTGCACTATTCAAAAAGAGATGGGAGCTTTTCTTGTCCTGACCAACAGTACCCTAAATAAAATTGGCCGTTCCCTTTATGGCTGTTTGTGGGAATATGGCTGATCAGAATTATTATGGAATCTGTGGCATTATTAGTTATGCTTTGACGGGAGTCGTTGGAGGCAAACAGTTTGTTCATTAGACTTGTGTGATTTAGGAATTAAAACTTGTTGTCTAAGTGCATGGAAATCAAATGTTTTTAATTTAAAAGTGACAGTTTTTAAGAAAGAATTCTACTAAAATTCAAAATAACTTGGCATTTGATTGTGTCTAATATTGCTGTCAACTATAGAGAGTATTGATGTCAAACACAACAGCAAAAGCAGGCCCACAAACAGCTTTGAGATGCCTGATCAATTTATCCACAGAATTGTTGGCTGGATGGCTGAAATAAACTACTTTTTTGGATGGTGTCGTGTCTGTCCACCTGAGGACAGGTAGATGGGATGTCAGTTTAATGTACTTTCTGAAGTACAGCACTTGTGACAATGCAATACTCACCTCATGCTTGAGTGTCGAACTGAACTGGGCCTGGGTTTCAATTCCTGAACGTAGAAGCTTGAGCCCTTGTGCGGCATAAACTTGTTTTATGGATGCAAAGTCTCACAGTTTTAAACTTATGTTTACTTTTGGTATGTTTTAGTACGTTTTAAAGATTTTGACATCACCGCATAAAATTTACAATCACATCAGCATAGTTTTAGAAAGCTAAGAGTGTACTCAAGGAAACAAAATTTTACGTGTGAAATATATTTTCTATCAAGTTTGTAAATAATGTTCTGCCTTTAGGGGCACACTTGGACAAATCTGGATTCACGCTTTTCTTATTTCTAAAGAATTTTTTCCTTTAATGCGATGCACAGAAATGGTTCCTCACACTATCTTATTACCGCACTTATTATAAATCAGATGGAGCATTTTATAAACTGCAAAAATGCTGCTGTAATTTTTTACGTTTTCAAAAGACCTCATAAAATGTAGAGGAAAATCTTGTCCTTTTGGTACTATTGCTATTAGGGTAGCTTGACAGAAAATATAAAATGTCTGGCATTGTGCCAAGAGGCAAAAGGGCATTTTCAGAATAGGGATCTCCAGCCAATTAAGTGTTTACAATTACATCCATCAAATTAATGGGTAAATCCTTACATTACTTAGCAATGTATACATAAATTTAGCCTCTATTGGTGTCTGATACTTAAAGAAAAATGAAAGACTCGAGGGAGGAGCAATTTGGTTCAAAGTACTCACATGGTATTGAGGCATTCTGCTGAATCTTGAGAACCTCACCTCCCCTGCTTGCTGCTCCACTGACTCTGGGCAGGAGCCAAAACAGCTATATTGTTTTGCGTGGCCAATCTGAAGGTACATTGCAATGCTTAGTACTGGTTAATGCATAATAATACTACTTGTAAAACATTGCTGGCAAGCTAGCTTCTGACTTAATTAAATTCGAGACATGTGTGCTAGGTACTTGTAGATATTAAATCCTAGTTTCTTTATGATGTATGCTTTACTGTACTTCACATATGCTACAGTTGAGGTAAAGTCATTGCATGTATAAATTTCTCAGTCTTTATTTGTGAAAACATCAGCGTAACGTTGATAAAAAAAAATCTGGAGTACAACTGATTTTAAAATCCTGTTAATTTTTAGTGGATAGAACCGTTTCCTCTTACTGATGTTAAAAATATTGCATGCATCTGAGTGTTGTACTCTGCAAAGCTAGCATAATTCAGTGCCCTGGTTTATGGTCCTAAGTATGTCAAATCACTACCTGCAGTGTAAATGGGACATAAAAGAAGATTGAGCTCATCTCTAGTACGTGTAGCTTGAGCATATTTGCAGTTCTTCAACTAATGTCCTGTCAAAGCCTGGTTTAGAAGGTGGTTTGCGAACTAATGCATCATGTTTCAGCTATACTTATTTTCTAACGGTCTTGCCTCTGGGACAGAAGTCATGGATTCAAGCTCAATATCAGAACCTGAACTCACAGTGACTCTAGGCTAACACTCCCGCTGTCCTTGGGGATCACTGCATTGTTAGATTTGCGTTAAACCAGGGTTTCGTTCTTCAGTCTGCTCCCGCTGCTCAGCAAGCTTCAGCCTGCTCGTGTCCCCCGCAACAACATCAGAGTCGGGCCTTCACCCTCTCTGCCACCACCCTTTGGAACTCCATCCCACAGTCCCTTCATCTTGCTTCCTCCCTTGCCTCCTTCAAGGCACGTCCCAACACCCTCCTCTTCGACTGCACCTTCAGTCACCGTCCTACCTCTACCCTGCCTGCCCTCCACTCCTCCTAATCCAATCCCATGTTTTAGTGAAAGTCAATTTTTTTCCATAATTTGATTTTTTGATTTCAAGGTGCACCTCAGGACCTACCTCTTTGATGTGCTTTCAGTCATCTTTCCCTCCCCATCTCCTTGGCTCCCACCTTCAGCTCAGGTTCTCAACCAGTATTGTTGAGCGCTCTGATGTGAAAGGCACTATATAAATGTAAATATGTATCATATTTTAAAAATGTACCTTATTTTATTTTTGGTGTTTGGGATGGTTCACATGCTTTAACAACAACTTCCCAACGTCCCACAGTGTTTGAGCACTTTCCAGGAATGCATGCACAGTAATTTCATGAATTTAGTTGTATGTGAGGTCACTAAGGAAACCATGTAGGTATCTCTGTAGTATCCTCGAGCTTAACTCCTTGCCTCCAGTTCAGGTGCAAACTCTGGACTGCCCAGTGCAATCGGACGTCCTTAGAATTGAAACCTGATATTATGAGCTTAATTTTATAATCTGATTTCTTGGGAACCTTTGTAGATTTAGGTATTTGACAAAACATGGATGACCTCCTTCTACATCTGTGTTGGAGTGCAATTCACATGCAGTCAAGGATTGAATCTAACTGTTGAAACAACACACAACTTTTCTCGTCTGACAAATATGCTTATGGTGGCCTAGCAGGAAATGTCTTGCATCCTGCAATTTTGACAAATGCATTTTGAAGTTGACCAAGACCAGAGTTCTTGAGATCTACAATTTTTTTTTGTGTTGCAGAATTGTCAATATGATTTAGAAGATAACCAACAACTCATTTAACTATAGAACTGCTACAAGAAAGAATAATAAGCAATGTCACAGTTCCATTGCAAAGTGGATTCTACAACACTGGACCTAATAATTGAGAATACTTAAGCTGCCTTCAAGAAGTCTTGTATTTTCTTTTGGTAACAAGCTTTTCCATCAAGACCTCAATTTTCTATAAATCCTAAATGTCTTGAATACTTGGGGGGGTGTTTCTACAATTCCTTGCACTGTTTCCAGTGCTATATGAAAACGCTCATTTTACAAGTAATCTATTGACTCGCCTGTAATCTTTCTCTCTTGGCATTGCTCCTCTAAGCTTTGATCTTTTTCCTGAGCTCCAATTGCTCTTCTTCCCATGTTTTTTTAATCTCTTTGTGGAGGCAAGAAGAGTGTCGGATAATTTGGTGCTGGAAATTTCTGTATTTTATGGGAACCTGTTGGCACATGTAGCTGTTCTGGTTGCCTATGAAACAATATATTTTACCAATGTAATATTAGTAATAATTCTTCCATTTCATATAAGTTGGTGACCAATTTGTCCACAGCAAGACCCGATAAACAGTCAAGAGATAAAGACCAATTTATTTGAAGGATTGCTAGCCACAAGAAACTTGGGGAGAGTGAGATGGTCAGTTTAATCCTAGCATCCCCTGCTGGTGTTATTTGTCTTTCTATACCACACTTTAGCTTTGAGTGTGTCCAACTGTCTTTGCTGACTTCTGGGATCCTATTTGGGCTGTGTGCATGTGTGATTTCACTTTCCAGAAACTGATATTTCAGGCATCCACCGTAATTATAGTTTACAGCTTTGTATTCAATTGTTTGAAACAATCATACTAACAATTACAACACTCTAATATTACTGCATGTAGTGATTATTTATATTTTAAAAATGGAATTGGCACAACGGGATCTTTGATCCAGAACCTAAAGTACTGTATTCTTTATATCACTGTGCTGAAAACTAGTCCTAAGGGACTGAAAGAACTAACGTTAGCAGCCTTTGTTGTCATGAGTAAGGAAATGCCAAATCAACAATTTTACTTTTCAATGGTCTGTCAAAACTTAAACTTCAGTGACCCTTTTGTCCTTTGGTTAGTGTTTTATACCCCTCTGAAAGGTTTTCCAGAATGTCTTATTGCTATTAAAGCTGCAACTGGCATGGGACACAGAACAGTAAATGCAAAATAGAATTTCTCTAGTACAATGACTACAAAATAAATGCTGCATAGAAGATTTCTGTTTTTCTAAAGTTTTTGTCTTTTCTCTCCTCAGAGTTCCTAGTCTTCCATCATGAACCCTGTTTACAGCCCCGTTCAGCCTGGGGCTCCTTATGGAAACTCTAAGAACATGGCTTATACGGGTAAGTTTTATGTCAACTACATTGTTACAGTACATATGACACAATCTGTATCAATTTGATTTAAGGAACCATCAGTCTAATCAGTTTCCCCCAACGCTAAATGTTTAAATAGACCGCCACATAAATTAATAACAACTAGTATTCATAATTTTAAAGTTAAATTAACTTGTGATCCTGTTGCACCGAAGCTATGGAATCTTTTTCTCCCAATCTCTCCACCTTGCCTCCTTCCCCTCTTTTAGATCACCACTGAAGACCTTACTCTTCGACTGTTCTTACGGTCGGAGTCCTGTAACTTAGTAGTTAGAGCACTTGCCTCGCAAGTGAAGAGACTGTTTGTGGGAAACTGCTGTGCGCAATGGCTGCCACGTTTCGCCCATAAAATATACAGTCAATTCACTTTACATATATTCTGTGAGATGTCTCAAAGACGTGATAAAGCGCTATATCAAATGCAAGGATTATTATTTATTATGGTCACCTCCCCCCCAACCCCACCAAAGGGCTTGGCGTCAGGCTCCACCACTGTTAAGCACTCCGAGGTGACTGAAGGACTAGTCAATGATGGTTCTTTAGACCAAATTTGAAAGCCAAGAAGGGAGAGGGTGAGGTGAAAGGATTTTTAGAAGCGTTCAAGAGGGTGGGGGAAATATGACTGAAGCACACTGATTGTTGTGGGGCCGGGTGGATGGGGGGGAAGTATGAAGCAGGCCAGAGTTGGCGAAGGGTGGAAATAACCGCAGAGGTAATAATAATAATTCTTGTATTTGATAAAGTGCCTTATGTCATCAATGTCTTCACAACATATACTGTAAAGTGGATTGGCTGTGTGTTTTGTAGGTGAAATGTGACAGCCAGTTTGTGATTAGTAATGTCCCACAAACAACCATGGAGTGTGTCGCCAATTTTATTTGGAGAAATTTGTTGGCTGGACCACAGGGAGAAACTCCCTTCTCTTTTCAAATAGTGTAATGGGGATTTTTAACATCCACTAGAACAGGCAGGCGCGACCTTGGTTTAGCGTCTCATCTGAACAACGGCACCTGTGGCAATGTAACATACCCCCAACACTGCATTGGAGTGTGGTGTCACTTTAGAGCAGGTGACTCCAAATTCTGATGTGGGGCTTGAACCCACAGCTTCCCGATTCAGTGGCAAGAGTGCTACCAGTACACCAGGCGGGCACTATTTTTAAGGGTTGTAGATGGGGCAGAGCAAACCCATGGAGTATTTGAAGGTAAGGATGAGTATCTTAACTCATTGCCATGATTAAATCTCCAAAAGGTGGACTTGAGGGACCCCAGACTTGGGGATACTACTGGAGTTTAACCGGCCAAAATTGTGCAGCCAACTATTTTGCTGGTAAGATTCTCCCTTCTTGTCCAGCTAGCCTTGCAAGCCAAAGCTTTAATGGATGGGACAGTCCTAGCTAGGCAAGTACAGTGTTGCATTTTTGTGTATACTTTTTGCTACTGCATTTTGTAGTTGAGATAAATGTTATAGGTGTAGAATGAATATTCATCATATATTAAGCTTATTATGTTTAACGTAGCACACATACAGAGGAAAGTACCATTTTCTCACATCTCCCCGCAAGCTTATAACCCCCCACCCCCCCAACGGGCTTCAGCTAGGTGGATAGTATGGTAGATTCACTTAGTTGAATTTCATCCTCATTAGTAAGTATCCACAAGGTGGTGCTAGATGTTTTGAGTTCACTGGTCTATTGAGCTTGTGGCATGTTGTACAAGACCTGTCATTTCTTGTTTTTGACTGGTGGCAATTTGGGTATTGTGTATGATTCTCTTACCTTCTCTAGGAGCCCAACTTTGTTAGTATTCCTGAGTGTGGAGATCAGGATAATTAAGGAGGAACTAGACAGAGGTGTGGGATAGGAGCAGAATAGAGATGAGAATGTGCTAGGGTGTGAAGGGATTTATACATGAGGGTGATGATCTTAAAGTCGATCCTTAGGAGATGGGAACCAGTGGAGTCTGGCAAGGTTTGGGTTGATGTGCATGTGGTATGGTAAGTGTGTGAGGATCTGGGCAGTTGGGTTTTGATTTGTTGGAGCTGGAGAGACCAGTAAGCAGTGCAATAGAGAAGTCAAAGTAGAGAAGTTAAGATGACAAAGGCATGGATAAGTTATTTCAGCAAGCAGGATGTTTAGAGTATTTGAATCTGGAGGTGGTGAAAGCAGTAATGACTGTGTCAGGGCCTGGTGGGAGGGAAAGTCACAGAGGAAGCAGAGCTAGTGAGAGTCTGGAATTGAGGTTTGAAAGATATTTGGTGGTTGAGTCCAAGGCTGTGCACTGGCTCCATCAGGAGGCGGAGTGAGTACTTGCGCAAGTTAGTGCAGTCAGCGCCTAAGGTGAAAAGGTGCCAACTGGGAGAAGTTGTCTTGTTGACATTGAGCTGTAGAAAACAAACTTATCCTGACCTTAAATGTCTGACAAGCAATTGGCGGAACTGCAGTGGTGAATTGGGTGTATCTGCTATTCATATAGAGATGAGCCATCCCCATGGATTGTCATCAAGGGGGACCTATAAATGGTGGAATGTTCAGGACTGAGAATGAGGCCCACTGTCCGTGTCTGCAGGGACAGGAGGAGAAGCCTTTGGAAAACATTGTGTAGATGTTGGAATAGCTAAGAGTGAAACTAGGAAAGGTTAGAGCCTAGAGGAGAGAGAGTGAAAGTTGGAGTGGCCTATTGTATCGAAATGGCAGAGACATTGAGGACAAGGAGGCAGAGGGTACCCTTTTTGGGGGGGCAGCAGGGGTACATGGGACTTCACTTAGTGGGAAAATAATTTAAAGGAGCCCTACCCCATTGGAAATCAGCAAAGGTCGGATAAGTGTGAACCTAATCTTGCAATGTGGGAAGGATGTCTTTGATTTGAAGAATGAGCATTGTAGAGGTGATCTTTATTTTACATTGCCCAAATGATAACTGTAAGGCAGCTGTCTACATCATTGTGGTACTTCCTTTTCATGCTGTGGTCTGATACTGCAAAATTCTGGACACTTATTTGCTTTGTGCAGTCACAACTGTTGAAACTCATTGCACTTGGGACTTTATAAATTATAGCAGAGAGAACCTCTAATTAGGTTAGGCAAGATTCAAGTTTGTATCCCAAAGGTGCAAACTATGTGCATCAAGTTATACTGAACATGCTTAATACTCTGCTGAATCCATTTTGAGTGAGACTGGATTTGCTTTGAATTGAGGCATTTGAAAATTTTGGCAAACTTACTACCTTTAAGTATTGTGGAGAATTAACCTTGGTGACCTTTATGCATCCAGTTTCTGTGCTAATAGCAGAAGTTTAGCTTTTTGAACAAACTCAATCACACCAAATCTACAAGAACCATAGATTATATTGAATTTCTGTAGTGTTTTTTCTGTGGTTTGAAAACTTTTGCTGATTTCTCCTATAACAGAACTTAATGTGTAACCAAAAAAAATCCGGTGCAAAAGGATAATTCTTTGATGGGGGTGTGAGGTCTTGGTAGTGAGAAACACTGCATGTAGTTTCTTTTTTGTTTTGCTTTTCTGTTCTGTACTCGGGACTCAAATCTCCTTATTTTATATGCTGCTGGAATTCTTTTCCGTAACTGAGTTTTCTCATCTTCTGAGGCTGTTCATTTGGCCATATTGTCAAGTTGTTTGAAGTCACATTCTATTTTTAGTTTGCTACTCTTTATTATTTAATTGCTTATTAAACTAAGAATAATCTAATTTGTACCTATCCTTGTCATTATTCTTGTTTCCCATCCTGTGGCATATCCATTCCATCAACAACAAAAAGAACAGAATTACATTTGTATAATGCCTTTCATGTCGAGAGGACATCCCAAGGGGCTGGACAGACAGAGTTATGGACCCAAGCTGAGGGTGGGGGAGGGCAGGGTGGGAAGCAGGGAAATCGAAAGCATGGTCGAAGAGGAGGGTCTTGAAGGACTGCGGAATGGAGTTCCAGAGGGTGGGTGCAGAGTGATGGAAGGCCCGCCGATAGTGGGGCGAGCAAGGCAGGGGAGTGAAGCAGGCCGGAGTCCGCTGAGCGGAGGCAGTGAACAGGGTGGTAGGGGGTTAGGAGGTCGGAGAGGTAGGTGGGAGCAAGACCATGGAGGACTTTGAAGGTGAGGACCAGGATCTTGAACTATATCCTCTGTGTGTGATGGGAAGCTAGTGGAGTTGGGCAAGAATGGGATGATCTGCAGCCTGTGGAGGGAGGAGTTGGGGAGGCCGACAAGCAGTGAGTTTGCATAGTCGAGTCACGATGTAATGAAGTTGTGTATGAGGGTTTCGACAGCCTGCGGTGTGAGACAGTGCCGGAACCAGGCGATGTTGCGGAGGTGGGGGAAGGTAGAGCGGGTCATGGCGCAGATGTGTGGTAAAAAGGATAGTTGAGGTCAAACAAGACCCCAAGGTTCTGGACTGGCTTAGCAAGGTGGAGTGTGCAAACATGGATGGTGATGCTGTCAGCGCCTGAGGTGAGGAGGCACTGACGGGGGCCAATCAGGAGAGCCTCGGTCTTGTTGTCATTCAACTGAAGAAAATTGGCTCTCATCCAGGACTTGATGTCTGCCAGACATTCTATCAGCACAGCAGTGGTCCTGGAGTCCAAGGTGGAGGCAGAGAGGTAGAGTTGGGTGTCATCCACATACATGTTGAAATTGACGCTATGTCTGCGGATGATGTCACCAAGAGGGAGCATGTAGATGTTTAAGAGGAGGGGACCAAGGACAGAGCCCTGAGGTACGCCACACGAGATGGTCTGAGGACTACAGGAGAAGCCGTTTGGGGTGATGAATTGAAAGCGGTGTAAGAGGTACAATCTGAACCAATCAAGGTCAGCGCCATGCAGGTTGAGGTGAGAGGAGAGGCGGTGGATGAGGATAGAGTGGCCGATGGTGTCGAAAGCAGCAGAGAGGTCAAGAAGGCAGAGGGAGCCCTGGTCGCAGATGGACAGAATATCATTTGTCACTTTGACCAGGGCGGTCTCAGTGTTGTGGGCGGCACGGAAGCCCGATTGGAGGGATTCGAGAAGGGAGAGAAAGGAGCAAAGCTGAGAAGCAACAACTCGTTCCATGATCTTGGAGCAGGGTGGTTGGAGATGGAGCGGTAGTTAGGGACTAGAGAAGGGTCCAGGGAGGGTTTTTTAATAATAGGAATGATTACAGTGGTTTTTAAAGGGTGGGAACAGAGGACAGGGAGAGGTTAATGATGTCAGTGAGTAGAGGGGCAAGGAGGTGGAGCTGGGAGGTAAGGAGGGCGGTAGGGATGGGGTTGAGGGAGGAGGTGGTGAGTTTCATATGGGTTATGGTGGTGTTGAGAGAGGAGAGGGAGACAGGATCAAAAGTGTGGAGGGAGGGATGGGTAGGAGCTGGGGTGGGAGGAGGAGATGGGGAGGGGGTAGCAGTTGCAATGGCAGAGGCAGCTGAGCAGATTCCCTCGACTTTGGATTCAAGGAAGTCCAGCATTGTCTTGCAGTTGACATTTGAGGTGAGGATGAGTGGGGCATGAGAGAGTGGGTGGAGGAGTCGGTTCGTGATGGAAAAGAGGAGCCTGGGGTTGTCCTTAGCCTCCAAGATTGCCTTGGAGTAGAACAACGAGGGCAGAGCGGTAAGATTTGACAGGGTCGAGCCAAATCTGCCGGTGGACAGTTAGGTTTGATTTAAGCCAGGTGCGCTCAGCGGAACACGCCTGGGCTTTAAGGGAGCGGAGGTGGCTGGTGATTTGCGGGAGTAGGAAGCAGTTTGGGAAGAGAGGGGAGCGAGGGAATCGAGTGGAGGAGAGGGAGCTGTGAAGAAGGGTGACTGAGGAGGATAGGTCATTGCGGGAGGACGGGAGGGGGCCTTCAGAGCAAAGGGAGAGGGAAGATAGGAGGGTAGAGATGTCAGGGGATGAAGGTGGTGGAGGGCTGGTTGGGGGGCGGTAGATAAGGAGAATTTTGAGGGAAAGGTTGGAGGTGTGATAAAGGGTAAGGTGCTCAAAGGAGGGGAAGGTTCCAGAGGAGTACGGGGATAGGCCGAGCGAGGACTGGGAGATGAGAGCCACCCTGCCACCGCAGTGGTTAGGTCGAGGGGGGTGATGGAAGGTGTAGCTGGCTGGTGTGGCCTTAGTCAGGGGGAACGTTTCACCTGGAGTGATCCAGGTTTCAGTGAGGGTGAGGATGTCAATGTGTTCATTGACGATGAGGTCTTGGATGGTGTGTGTTTTGTTGGAGAGGGAACGGACGTTTCGTAGACCGATGCGGAGGGGACAGCTGGTGGCCGAAGGGGGCGGGGGGACTGATAGTGTGGGTAAGGATGTGGATCAGGGAAGAGAGGTTGTCCCCCGTGGTTGGTGACCGATGAG